CTTTGGGAGGCCGAGGCGGGTGGATCACGAGGTCAGGAGATCGAGATCATCCTGGCTAACACGGTGAAACCCCGTCTCTACTAAAAATACAAAAATTAGCCAGGAGTGGTGGCGGGCACCTGCAGTTCCAGCTACTCGGGAGGCTGAGGCAGGAGAATGGCATGAACCCGGGAGGCAGAGCTTGCAGTGAGCTGAGATTGAGCCACTGCACTCCAGCCTGAGCAACAGAGCGAGACAGGGCTGGGGCCTCCAGGAAGAGGCCTCCTGGTCTCAGCTATCGTGAAGCTTAAGGGCTTGAGCTCTTTCAGAGCCCAGAGGGAAGAGGGCGGCTGCTGGGGGCACCTCACTGAGGGGTGCATAGTTGGAGGCGGTCTGCCTTGGCTTGGGCTGATCGGCTTTCCCAGCAGGTAGAGCGGTCAGCGTGGCAGAGAGGCTGGAGCAGACTCCTACCCCTCCACTGAGGGACTGCCTGGGATGTTTTTTTAAGCTCTGAACATTTTCCAGTGGACTAACAGTTCACACTGATGAACAGCTGGAGCTGCAAGCAGACTTTATATCATATACAGCATTCTTAAACCTAGAGTCAGGCCTGCGGCCCCTCACCAGGCAGGTAATTGTTTTCCTGCAGGACCACAGCCGCTTTGTCAACTGTGTGCGATTCTCTCCTGATGGAAACAGATTTGCCACAGCCAGTGCTGACGGCCAGGTAAGACCTGGGATGGGTTTTAGGGTGGAGATTGGCTTGTCTGCCTGCTCCCGTGACCGCTCAGAGCCACAGGCTAGTCCTGACATGCAGAACTTAGACGTCGCCCTCCCCATCTCTGCAGACGTGTGGTCAGAGCCCAGTAAACGCATGTCTGCTTTTAAACCACACTGGGAGCTCAGTCTGTTAGCCCTCGTTTTCTAGAGCCACACAGTCCATGGAGAAACTGCTTACACACACGTGACCCACATGTTTTTATTTCTTGGAAGATATACATCTATGATGGGAAGACTGGGGAGAAGGTGTGCGCGCTGGGCGGAAGCAAGGCCCATGACGGTGGGATTTACGCCGTGAGTATGAGTGTGGTTCCCAGCCTAGTGGTAGGAATTTGGCCGAGTCCATGTGTCAGTCCATCCATACTCAATCTGGAGTTAGACAAAAACTTGAAATGAGGGGCTACAAGTCACGGCGGTTTTATGCCTTTGCCCAGAAAAACTTTAAGGTTGCAGTGAGGTGATGGGAGAAGGTAGTGGCTGGAACAGGAGACCTGGAGGTGGGTTTTGTCCTTGCCTCACTCACGTCCCACCCCCTCTGGGCTCCTTCTGTCCTACTCAGAAACAGTGGCAGTGGACAAGCTGCTTTTGGGGGTCTCTCTCCAGTCTAGTCCTCTGGCCCATGACACACTGCTTTTCTCTGAATAGATTAGCTGGAGTCCCGACAGCACCCATTTGCTTTCTGCTTCTGGGGACAAAACTTCCAAGATTTGGGACGTCAACGTGAACTCCGTGGTCAGCACATTTCCCATGGGCTCCACGGTTCTGGACCAGCAGCTGGGCTGCCTATGGCAGAAGGACCACCTGCTCAGTGTCTCCCTGTCCGGGTACATCAACTATCTGGACAGAAACAACCCCAGCAAGCCCCTGCGCGTTATCAAGGTAAGGCCTGCCCTGGGGAAGGCTCTGTCCCCTGGGTGGGCAGGGAAGAGCCCAGTGTGGCCAGCGAGGAAGGGAACCGAGGGAAGGCCAGGTGGAAGCTGAAAAGGTGTCCTCAGGCCTCCTTGGCCCTTGGGGTTTTGGTGGAAGGGTGGGATGCTGGTTGCTTTCTTGGGACATGAGTTTAGCCATGGTGGCAGGCCAGGTGCCAAGCTCCCCTTGAGCTACTGTAAGAGCTGGAGCCTAGGGATTCGGGGCAGTGGCCATCGCCCCCAGCTGTTGAGAGCGGTTACTTCCTGCAGGGCTCGGCCTTCCCTGAATTGGGAGTCTGCAGCCTGTGCTTCACCTGACTGCAGGCAAGAGCAGGAGCTCACTGAGCGCCAGGGCGGGTGAGGGGGCATCACGGAGGTCCAGGGGCAGGAGGAGGAGGAAGAGCAGGTGGCCTTGGGCCTGGGCCTTGGGGCTGCCTGGGGTTTGAATGTGGGCAGGGTGTGAAGGAGATACTGGAGTTGCATGAGGGAGCGATGGGATCAGGAGGAAAGGAAGTTAGAATCATGCACGGGGCCCAGGTGTGAAGGCCCCGAATGCCAGCCTGGGGAGGAGCAAGGCACCTGCTTCTAAACCCTAACCCGGAAGGATTCACTTGAGCCAGAGGCTCCCTGTGTTCCATTGGCTGGAGGGGTCCTACCTTCTCCCTCCATCCACACCAGCCAAGTTGACGCCTCTGGGAATCTCGCAACTGGACAGGAGCCAGAGCAGGGGTCCCTTCCGTATCCTCAGGGCCTGCTCTGACAGCAGCACCCACTCCTGCTTCCCACACTGCATCTGCTGGGAACTCCAAGTCAGGTTTCCCCAGC